GTTTACCAACCGGGAATTTGCAATAAATAGGTCTGATAAAAAAAGTCCATGCCATACAACTGTATATTTCGGTCATAAATCAGATTGGTCTATGAGACAAAAGATGTTTTAATCTGTCATTTGATTGGTTGGTGGTAATTAGATTAATATTAACTATTGTTGTTGATATATTTTATAGTGATGAGACACAACTATAATTAGATTGTTGTTGTCATTCAGTGTACTGTGAAACTTAAATTTCTCCTGCGACATTTTGAATCGATACTAAATTATAAACTTTGCTAGCTGTGGATGGAAAGCGATTGGATTAAGGTTTGTGTCAGGCTATTATTTGTAAAACTAGAAAATACATGCATGCAGCAACCTCTCGCCTTTCTTAACAGCTGATGAAGTATAAAAACTCCACATAATAGGCTGTTGTGCGAAAAAGTGCTTACTAATATAAAAGCAATTTCATGGCAACCCCCTGGGGAATAGATTTTCTGTTCTTCAATTCATAGTCCCATAGATGCTTGATTACCACAAAAAGTTCCCAAGCAAAAAACTTGCCAAACACTGAGAAAATAGGTGATCAGTGATTATCCTCTATTATAAATTGTATTAGAGCAAGAAAATGTGAAATTTTGTATTAAATATTACAACAAAAATGACTTGCATCACCAGAAAGCTTACAAAAATCTACATATAGGATGTTTAAACAGTTTTTTATATCTCAAATTGTTTTCGAGTTTGTATACCATATCAAAAAACCCGTTTTTGACCTAATACCCAGTCCTTATTGCGACATTTTACTCCAATTTTCACATTTAAAACTGTTACAGCAATAACTCAAAGACTATTTGAAGAATAAAAAAACTGTTTAAAGTCTTATACAGTCGAACCTCTATTAAGCGGCCACCCTGGAGTATCGGCTTTGTGGCCGCTTAATAGAGGTAGCCGCTAAACAGAGGTATGCAAATAATAGACCCTGGGCGTAGTCAAATGTCTATTTTTAATTATAAATCACAGAATACAATATAGTGATTTTATCTTTAATTCCCAGTTTCATCTAGTATAACATTTTTTCACAGGCATACAGTACATTGTGCCAACAACATGAGGCCATCACACTATCATATTTCACACTAAACCTTTTTTTGAACAAACTTTAGGGATCACTATTGTAGCATAAATTTATTACAACGACACCAATATGGTTCTCATTACTTATATCTAAACCTAAAAATCCTGCTTAATAGAGGTAAAAAATGACATAAAACATCATTTGGGACCGCTCTTTGGGTGGCCGCGGCCGCTTAATAGAGGTGGCCGTTTAATAGAGGGATAGTTTATAGCATTTGTGTTACAAAAATGTTGGGACATCGATATGTGGCCATTTAATAGAGGGTGGCCGCTTAATGGCCGTTTTTGTACGCTTTCTGATGAGGCGAGTCATTTTTGTTGTAATTGAATACAAAGTTTCACATTTTCTTGCTGTGATACAATAGATGATTCCCTTTATTACGTTTTCGTAGCGCTTTGCATTGTGGTTATAGTGGTATCACTGATATTAAAAAAAACAACATTACCAGCAGACAATTTAATAAAATACAAGAAAAACATACTCCGAAGAATAACATCTTGTAAACTCAAGATATGAGCTATAACACAAGACAACAATTTTGCGGTGATATTTCGACTCTATTTCAAAGTCATTGTCAAACCAGAATAAGCTATTTACAAACTTGCTATCATATTATATACAAAGAAACAGGAAGAGATGACGTATTAGAAACATTACACTATTGACATACAATGATACTAAATTAAGAAAAGACCACGAGTTCTTTAGACGCTCTTAATTCACGAGTTCTTTAGATGCTCTTAAGACACTAAGAAGATATCATATTTCTTGCCTAGAAAAGACAAAATTCCTAATTCTTCGCGTAGCAATATTGTTTATGAATTTGCTTGTCCTGGTTGCAACAGTTCCTACATAGGCAAAACAGAAAGAAATTTGGCTACTCAATTATCGGAACACTCAGATCCACAAAAAAGTTCAATTTCAAAACATCTGTCGGAATGTGAACATGCTAATTTCATCCTTAATTTGAACCACATGTTTGACAACCTTAATGACATAAATGACAGTGACACAGTCAAACTAGACACACCGCTCTCTTTTCACAATCTCATCCAGACTAACACTCAAACTCTTCACACTCTTAAGCACACAAATTCCAACCTTCTCCTATTCCTTGAAGCTCTGTATAATAATTAAATACAGAAAGCCCATGCTTAATAACGGATTAAGAGCGTCTAAAAAACTCGTGGTCTTTTCTTAATTTAGTATCATTGTATGTCAATAGTGTAATGTTTCTAATACATCATCTCTTCCTGTTTCTTTGTATATAATATGATAGCAAGTTTGTAAATAGCTTATTCTGGTTTGACAATGACTTTGAAATAGAGTCGAAATATCACCGCAAAATTGTTGTCTTGTGTTATAGCTCATATCTTGAGTTTACAAGATGTTATTCTTCGGAGTATGTTTTTTCTTGTACTGATATTCAAGATGGCTTATTTTTTGTCCTTAGCCGTGCAAGAACTTTTAAAAAAAGCTAGGGTCATTTGAAAACATTCAATATTTTCATTTGAGGCCCCTATCTTTATCAGTGATACCACTATTATAACCACAATGCAAAGCACTATGAAAACGTAATAAGGGGAATCATCAATTCAATAGAGGATAATCACTGATCACCCATTTTCTCGATGTTTGGCGAGTTTTCTGCTTGGGAACTTTTTGTGGTAATCGAGTATGGTACTATGCATTGAACCACAGAAAATCTATTCCCCAGGGGGGTGCCACAAACCGTAATAATTTTGACCAACGGCCCACAGCCTATACAGTATTAAGACCATTATAAACAAACATAAAAACACAACTGATGCGCTAGCTTTATAATGAACGATAACATTCACTGCAATTCCATGCATACAAGCTTGCATTAAAGTGAATTATCAAGCTAAGAATGGCTTAAAAATTTTGCAGGTATGAATAAAACCGACAACACAAACGTTTAAACAAGTACGGCATGGAATTTTATTACTGAAATGTTTACACTTACCCAAATCGGCAAAACAATGATTAAATTATCAAAGACATCAACATCAAAACAATTATAATTATACAAACTTTGTTTAATTCATGGTTGAACAACAACTAATTCATGAAACTGCAGAGATTATTTCCAGTTAAAATCAAGGAAAAAACTGTTTTGTACTTTTGTGAACTTTTTAACAAAATTTAAAACAAAAAATTGCTATAAAACAGCAAAATACGTCCTTTCAAATTGAAAAACAATTACTTCAACAGAGTTTGTACTCGCGCATGCATATAACGTCGAAAACCATCCATAACATAAACAAAATGGGGGACAACATTGCACTCACATACCCGGGTATAATTAGCCGTGTGGAATTAGTACCCTTGCACAGTGCTTCGTGCTGCAGGCTCGGGGATAAAGCAGCAAGTTCGAACTTTCTCGGCAAAATTTAATTGTTGAACGTTTTCGTTTCATATTTTCTTTCTTGTGTTGAAAGAATAAGCATACATTGCAGTTTTAAAATCAGTTCATTAACTTCATTTACTCTTTATTGCCTGATACCGAAAAATTTTTCTTTGCCTGGTGTTTGCCGTTTGATTGAAGCTTGTGAATAATAACAATATGAAAAACATCCTTGAATAAAGCAGTATATACCTAGTACAGTTATTTTGTAATCTGGCATGCATTTTCGAGTCATTAAATTGCAAGTTATCATTTCTAAATCAAAATTTCTTAATAAACGACATTTCTTTCTTGTCTTTACTCTTTCAACGTACTTATGTTTATAATAAACACTCACGAACGATATATATTAAAACATTCTATTTAAAATTAAAAATATTTACTAAAAAATGGCTCACAAAATATATATTTCGTCTAAAAACCTCGTCAGTTGTTCGCCATCTTAAAATATAACATTTACATTTCAAGACGACATTTCTCAAGACATTTCTAAATCGGCTAAAATATATCTACAAAATAAGTGCAATATAATTTTCTTCAACTGACCGTTTTACAGACGACGAAATAGCCAATAAAGACGATATAACACAACGAACTTTGAAAAACAGCCATACTTTTGGCTTCCATATTGAAATATCGAAGAACTTCATCTTGTAGTAATATAACGAATTGTGAGAATGTTTCCACAAACACTAAACAAATTTCGCCTTCAAATATTTTCCTTTTGGTAAACGAAGTGGCTATTCGTACTGGAGACCCGATTCTTACACGCCGGGGACGAGGCTGACGTAAAGTGGCAATATAAAATAGTTTTTTGCAACAGTTTTTAGCGAGCTTGCTGCTAGCGCAATCGGCAAAGGCGCTGCGTGCGTGCAAAGTGAAACGAGGTCGGGTCCGGGTTTAGTTTTTGCCGTCGGTTTTGGCATGTACTAAAAGGCGAAACGTCGAAACGAAACGACCGAAACGAAACGGCCGAAACCATCGAAACCACCGAAACGAACGAAACGACCGAAACGAAACAACCGAAACGAAACGACCGAAACGAAACAACCGAAACGAAACGACCGAAACGAAACGGCCGAAAATGTAAATTACAGGAAAATTGAAAAATGCGGATACGGACGGACGGACGGGGGGACAGGCGGATGGACGGGGGAGACAGGCCGATGGACGGGGGAAGAGGCGGATGGACGGGGGGGGACAGGTGGATGGACGAGGGAAGAGGGGGATGGAGGAGGGGGGACAGGCGGATGGACGGGGGAACAGGCGGATTTCATTTGACACGAAACTCAATTTTAAAATCAAATCCGCGTTTTGTTGAAAGGGATATATTAGGATATATTATAAAAGACTATTATTAATCGTAATAAATTGTCCGCGAAAAGTTGATAAAATACATGTGGAAATGCGGGGTTTTTCGAACCTTCGTAACGCTTGATCGGATAAAACGCGGATATGCTGCAACTTTCATGCTTAATTTTCTCAGTCATCTGGGTATGTAGTAATCTAATTTTATGCAATGTAATGTGCTATTTTTTCAAGCGCTTTTCAATGCAGTTATCGGTTTAAATATACCTAAAATTCCCGTTCAGAGATATGACAATTGCCGTACGGCCTACTTTTACGCAAACGAAAATTTAATTTAGCTACAATTGCAAAAATTTCATGCTTAATTTTCTCTGTTATCTGGGTATGTAGTAATCTAATTTTATGCAATGTAATGTGCTGTTTTTTCAAGGACTTCTCAATGCAGTTATCGGTTTAAATATAACTCAAATTCCCGTTGAGATATGACAATTGCCTTACGGACTACTTCCACGCAAACGCAAATTACAACTGCAAATTTCATCAGCACATCACATTGGCATAAAATTACATTACTACATGCCCGGATAACAGAGAAAATTAAGCATGAAAGTGGCAATTGTAGCTAATTTTCGTTTGCGCAAAAGTAGGCCGTACGGCAATTGTCATATCTCTTAACGGGAATTTTAGGTATATTTAAACCGATAACTGCATTGAAAAGCCCTTGAAAATATAACACATTACATTGCATAAAATTAGATTACTACATACCCAGATGACTGAGAAAATTAAGCATGAAAGTTGCAGCATATCCGCGTTTTATCCGATCAAGCGTTACGAAGGTTTGAAAACCCCCGCATTTCCACATGTATTTTATCAACTTTTCGCGGACAATTTATTACGATTAATAATAGTCTATTATAATATATCCTAATATATCCCTTTCAACAAAACGCGGATTTGATTTTAAAATTGAGTTTCGTGTCAAATGAAGCCGTCTCCCCCCCCCGTCCATCCGCCTGTCGTCCCGTCCATCCGCCTGTCCCCCCCCGTCCATCCCCCTCTTCCCCCGTCCATCCACCTGTCCCCCCCGTCCATCCGCCTCTTCTCCCGTCCATCCGCCTGTCTCCCCCGTCCGTCCGTATCCGCATTTTTCAATTTTCCTGTAATTTACATTTTCGGCCGTTTCGTTTCGGTCGTTTCGTTTCGCCTTTTAGTACATGCCCATGGCTACCATTGGAAAATATCGTGATGTTCCGGTATATTCCGGGAAAATGTCGCAATATTCCGGCATATTCCGTGATATTCCGCCATATTCCGTGATATTCCGCCATATTCCGTGATATTCCGGCGTTCCGGGTTTTCACAACGCCCGTTAATTGAACCATGTTTAATGCAATTAATAATGGACGGTCTTATTGTCTCACAAAGACGAAGATTGACGAGTTGAGCTCATTTTAGATAATTTAACATTCAACTTTAATTCCCTGTTGGGAATTGTTTATGTTTCGTTTTCCATGCAATTCCCAACGGTGGAAGAATGTGATTTCGACCGGCAATTTTTATTTGACGAGTATGTGGCCATTTCGCATCGTTACGATTTAAAAAAGGTATCAGAGAAAAGCTAAATAACAGCCATGTAAAAATATGAATTGTTTAGCTAAGTTGACGATGCACGACAGCTTGTTGAATTTCCATAGCGTCTTTTTTTAGACACCCTGTATAGAGAAATTTCCATCCCTAAGGGCGAGATCTCGCCTCTTTCAAACGAGATCTCGGCAACCGGGCCAGCGCGCTTGTCCATATATAAACGCATGATAATTTTTACTATAAAAATAACTACACAGCGAGATCTCGCTTACTGGGCTGTCTCGCTTAGGGAGTGGTCATTATTTATGGGGGGGACTAGCTAACAGTCGTGGGTTGTGGGTCGTGGGTAGAATGTCGTGGGTCGTGGGTAGAATGTCGTGGGTCGTGGGTAAAAAGGCGTGGGTCGTGGGTAAAAAGTCGTAAGTCGTGGGTAAAAAGGCGTGGGTCGTGGGTAAAAAGGCGTGGGTCGTGGGTAAAACGGCGTGGGTCGTCGGTAAAAAGGCGTGGGTCGTGG